ACCAGGACTCTCTCTCTCTCTGTAGTGGATGAGCGAAATGTCATGGAGGAGCATCTCAGGTGTGTGTGTGTGTGTGTGTGTGTGTGTGTGTGTGTGTGTGTGTGAGAGAGAGAGAGAGAGAGAGAGAGGTTTATCTTGTAGCCGGAGGCACTCAAAAGGTGAAAACATGTCATGGGCATCCTCTTAGGGAACCAGGACTCTCTCTCTCTCTGTAGTGGATGAGCGAAATGTCATGGAGGAGCATCTCAGGTGTGTGTGTGTGTGTGTGTGTGTGGACATTTCTTCTTTTCTTTTTCTCTTAATGGATATTCTCTCCATCCATCTGTTGTTCTGTCCTTCACATATTAACACTGTTTGGATAAAAGCGTCTGCTAAATGACTAAATGTAAATGTAAATGTAAATTAAGCAACTTTCAGCTTTTCCAAGGCTAAACAGTTGAATCTCAGGGAAACACATCTGGGTCACATGTCACCTCACAAAATAAGAAATTGTATTTTGCATAAAACGAAGCATATTTTTAGGACCATTTTTTTCCCATTATGAAATTAATTTTTAAGACAGTTTTTTTTATTGTAATTTTAGTTTAGTTTTATATATATACTCTCTCTCTCTCTCTCTCTCTCTCAGTATATATATACTGTATATTTTTATATTAAATATTACAAGTTTGGTATCAGTAAGATTTTTGTTTTAAGTCTCTTCCACTCAAAAAGGCTAAATTTATTTGTCAAAAATACAGTAAAAACAGTATCATTCTAATATGCTGATTTGTTGCTCAATAAATATTTCTGATCATTATTAATGTTGAAAATGTGTAAAACCATGACATTAAAACATAGTGATTTTTTAAAAATTGACATTATAAATGTCTTTACTGTCATTATCGATCAATTTAATGCAACTTTCCTGAATAAAAGTATTAATTTCTTGGAAAAAAATACCGCCCCAAGATTTTGAATAGTTGTATATACAGTATATAATTTCAGTCAGCATAAACAAATACAATATAACAAATACTACCATAATATATAAATACTTGACCATGTAAATTAAAATTTTCTATATTACAATAATAATAAAATTACTAAAAATGTAAAGTCAAATAAATTCCTAAATAAGTTCAAATTCAATAAGAATTTGTGAATGCGTTTGTCATGAAAATAATGTTGCGATGGACAAAATCATTAAGATGCTTAAAAAGGCTTCCTGTTCTTTAAAAGTGAAGTATGTAATTTATAGACTATGTAAAAATACTTGTTATATTGCAAACAGGAATATGTTTGTTTGAAAACTTTATTTATTTTTTCCCAATTTTGTTTGGTGCTGCTAGTGGCAGCTTTCCTCTTGATTTTGTTGAAATGCAGGCTTGTTCTTGACAGGTTTGTGAGATTCACTCGAGCAATCTGTGTGTCTTTGTCTCTGTTCCTCCTGTCGTATGTTGTCTTCCCTCTCTTGTTTTCTTCTTCTCTCTGGATGTGTAGGGAATTCATAGTCTAACGTCAGAGAAACGCTGTGTGCCGAGAGAGAAGAAGCACTGTAAATACTGGATGGAGTCTATTTCTGTCTCGGAACATGAGATTGACTGTTAAATGCACACACGTACACAAACACACACGCACTCGCTGTTTATAGAGCAGCGTTTCTCCATGATTTCCATGGTTCCAGATCTCTGCCTGCTCAGGGTGAAATGTTCTCCATCACAACATTCACATACATGCACAAAACATCTTAGATTATTGACTCAGGAAAAAAAAAAATCAAAATGATGATTTAGAGAATTCATGAGAGAGTGCTTTCTTCACATTTCTGCTGTTTAACGTCCGTATTTGTCTGATGTCTTTAAAAAAGCAAGGTTAAGTTTACATCAGTTTATCAGTTTACATCTTGCAATTGTGTAAAAAAAATTTTTTTTTAATTTTTTTAATTTTTAATCTGACAATTCTGACTTTTTTCTCATTATTGCAAGTTCATATGCCACATTTCAGACTTTTCTTTTTTTATTTCGTCTTGGAAACATGCTTTCATAATGACAGAAGGCTGAAGCGCACAACACCTTTAACAAGAAAAACACTTATCACATACAGTACAATAAAGAAACAAATAACAGTGACCTTATTAACTTTATGGCCGCTTTGTTACTTCGTAAATGTCTGGATTTCGAACCTTTGCACTTCAGAAACTTCATCAGGTCCAGATTACCCAATCAAAGCTGTCACCATGACCAGAGACGCAAGCGGATGGGCAGAAAATGGCGAATGTCGATTATGCATTAGCTAGTGTGTGTGTGCTGGGGAATACTGAGGTTGAAGAACAAATGTTGTGAGTGTTGAATGTGCCGTTCCTGTGATGTGTGTGACGTTCTCCTGAGTTTTATACCTCAGCTGAAGCGAACAGTGTCAGAAACGTCTCACTAAATATAACACACACCCTGACAGTGATCTGAATCGCCGGATTCCCTCGCTACTTTGAAGAATTCCAATTACTGTCAGTGTTTTCCATGTGTGTGTGTGTGGATGTGTGTGTGTGTGTTGTAATCCATCACAGCTCAGGCATTACAGACAGTTGTGCTTGTATGTGTAATTCCACTGTAATTAGTGTTTATTCAGGATGCAGTGATTCATCCACAAATAGCCAAATGTTCCTGTTAAAAGAAACAGTAAATAAACAATAATGAACGGTGGGTGTTTGAATTTAGTCGAAAATATCCACAAATACAAGCAAATTTAACCGCTTTCGTTTACTTTGCCCAGGCTGCTTTAAATTGGATTTCACACCGACGATGGATTTTTATGGGCTTCCTAAACTTGGGTGGGTAAATCAACCAGAACCAGACGTTCACAACACTGACCTTCTCTCTCTGTGCAATCTATAGAGCCGTGAGGATATATCACCCAACAACAGAGCCAATCTAGATTCAATTACCAACTGGGCCAAGAGTGCAATTTATAACTACACACACGCATGTGGACGCTCCTGAGGATGGTAGAGGTCGCACTGCATGCATTAAACTCCCGTGTTTACCATGGAAATCGGTGAGGAATTCAGCGTCATGAATTTCTGAACGTAATTTATAGCTGAAATCTCAAGTGCATCCCGCTTACGATTCATAAGCTGAATCCTCAGCGAACAGAATTTGAATTTATTGTCGAAATGAATTTCCTTAGTCACAAAGGTGTGTGCATGCATTTGCATTCTGAATAATTATGCTTTGTGTTCATTTTCAATGTTTTATATGATTTATGTCAGCTCATGGAAACTCTGGATATGAATTTATATGCTGCTGATTCTGTATCTCTGCATAAGCGATGCACCTTTTGGCATGGTTTGGCAACTTTGAATGCTTCTAAGTTTGTCTTTTACTGATTCTAGTACAAATATGAAACATTCTTAAATTAAGGTACATTTACTTGAAATGCAAAATGATGTAAGATTAGAAGTTTTGTTTTATTAGTTATTTATCAAAATGAAGTGAGGTTTATGCTTAAAACAAGAACAAATATTTGCCACTGGTATCAGAAAAATAAACTTGTTTTGCCTATGAATATTTTTTTCTGACCCCATTGGCAAATATTTGTTCTTGTTTTAAGCACAAACCACATTTTCAGGCTTCTTATCTTGTCATTTTGCATTTTAAATAAATGTTTAGATATTTTAAGAATGTTTAGATATTTGTGTCAGAAAATTTGACTACCTAACCAGGTCAAGATGATGTTGTTGCATGTAAACCAGTTTGAGCAATGCTAAAACCAGCATGAAAGCATCCAAAACATACTTTATACTACTAACAAGAAATGAAATCTTCTTAACCGGTCATAATCTGTTCTTAACCTGGTCACCAGATAAACCGGTTTAGCTGACCTCAGCAGTTTTTTTCCCCACAATACTTTATTTTATACATATACGCTTTGATGCATGTTTGTAATTAAATGACCACATGATTGTGTGTTTTATGTACAGAAAAAACTGCAGTGTGGATATTTCTGCTGATGGTTTGGCTATGAATCACTAAAATAATGTGCATATCAGCTAGTTTAAGAAGACACCACTGGTTGATTGAAGGTTTTAGTGATGCTCTTTAAAGGAATAGTTGACCCGAAAATAAACATTTACTGAAAATGTGCTCACCCACAGGCCATCCAAGATGTAGATGAGTTTGTTTCTTCATCAGATTTGGAGAAATGTAGCATTGCATCACTTGCTCACCAGTGGATGCTCTGCAGTGAATGGGTGCCATCAGAATGAGAGTCCAAACAGCTGATAAAAACATCACTATAATCACTCCAGTCCATCAGTTAATGTCTTGTGAAGCCAAAAGCTGCGTGTTTGTAAGAAACAAATCTATCATTATGATGTTTTTAACTTCAAACCGTTGCTTCCATAATCCATAATAATACTTCCTCTTGTGAGAGAGTTAAATGCACAGATCAAGCACTGTTTACAAGCCAAAACAGTCCAAAACAGCTCTAAACAAAAATGTGTGTGGATTTTGATGTGAGAGACAACAGGAGATGGACTTTTTCACTGGAGGAGGCGTTGTTATGGATTATGGACATATTACCTATTTTAGCCGGAAACAACGGTTTGAAGGTAAAAGTGTCTTAATGATGGATTTGTTTCTGAAAAACATGCAGCTTTTGGCTTCACGAGGCATTAACTGCTGGACTGGAGTGGTGTGGATTAGTTGTGGATTATTGTGATGTTTTTATCAGCTGTTTGGACTCTCATTCTGACGGCACCCATTCACTGCAGAGCATCCATTGGTGAACAAATAATGTAATGCTAAATTTCTCCAAATCTGATGAAGAAACCAACTCATCTACATCTTGGATGGCCTGAGGTTGAGGACATTTTCCTCAACCTCAATTTTCATTTTTGGGTGATGGAAACACCCTGGCACTGATATAACATGCGTCAGCACTTTATATTTGGTGCTAAATTGTCCAGTTTTTCAGTGTGGCATTGCTAAACATACTGATTTCTCGCTGCAATTTTCCTCCAGGTTTTACTGGGATCTCACCATGCTGCTCCTGATGGTGGGAAATCTCATCGTCATTCCCGTGGGCATCACCTTCTTCAAGGACGAGCACACGCCGCCGTGGATCGTCTTCAACGTGGTTTCCGACACCTTCTTTCTCATGGACCTGGTGCTAAACTTCCGCACAGGAATTGTGAAGGAGGACAACGCGGAGATCATTCTGGACCCTCAGCAGATCAAGATCAAATATCTGCGCTCATGGTTCGTGGTGGACTTCATCTCCTCTATCCCCGTGGACTACATCTTCCTCATTGTGGAGACGCGCATCGATTCGGATTTCTACAAGACGGCGCGCGCTCTGCGGATCGTACGCTTCACCAAGATCCTCAGTCTGCTGCGGCTGCTGCGGCTCTCGAGGCTCATACGCTACATTCATCAATGGGAGGAGGTGAGTGGATGTTTTTAGTGTTTTTACCACATTCACCACTCATAACTGCAGATATCTGATGATAATGTGACCCGGGGAGGGATTTAACATCTCTGCCCAGAGGAAAATATTATTGCTTTCATAGCACAAGAGATTCAGTGGAGTTGTCAGTTATGTATAATTTAAAGCAACAGTTCAGCTAAAAGTAAAGTTCTATCATTATTTGCCCTTGGCATATCAAGACATGCAAGTTTGACGTCAATTTGCATGCACATCAATGCATTATGAAAAATTCTATGTTTATATGCGTACTGGCATCAGAATATTCCTATAGACGTTGCCGTTATAAATATGCTGATCTACACATTTCCTGCTGTTATTCTCTAAGAGATTTGAGAACTTTTTCACTCAAACACTTCTGACCTTCAAAAATGCCAGACAACACCACCACAAAATTTATAATAATAATAATATGATTATTACTATTAATGTACATTTATTTGAATAATTCTAAAAATAATAATGTACACAATAATTTAATTAGGACTTGAACACTTCTGACCTTCAAACATGCCAGACAACGCCTCCACAAAATTAATAATAATAATAATTATTATTATTATTATTATTATTATTATTATTATTGATGTACATTTCTTTGAATAATTCTTAAAAATAATAATGGTCACAATAATTTAATTAGGACTCGAACACTTCTGACCTTCAAACATGCCCAACGCCTCCACAAAATTAATAATAATAATAATAATAATAATTATTATTATTATTATTGATGTACATTTCTTTGAATAATTCAAGAAAATAATAATGTTCACAATAATTTAATTAGGACTCGAACACTTCTGACCTTCAAAAATGCCAGACGACACCGCTACAAGCATAATTTTTTTTTTATATTTGAAGAAATATGTACATTAATAATAATAATAATAATTATTATTATTATTATTATTATTAATGTACATTTCTTTTAGTAATTCTATCAAATAATACAATATTTTTGTTGATTATTATTATAACTGTCATTATTATTATTGACATTTCTTTTAATAATTCCATAAAATGGAAGTCTTTCTTAATATTTTTGTTTTCTGAATACTGATGTACATGTAAACATAGGCTAATGCTTCTGTGAGTATGATGACTATGATGACTTTTTGTATTTTGGTTGAACTATTGCTTTATTTGAGTTCTTAATTATGTGAGAGTCAATCTTTAGTGTTTCTCCGAAAGTTTATAAGTAGAAAAGAAATGCTATGAGATTAGCAGATAGCAGCTCATATCATGTTCTCTTCATCCTGAGATCTCTGATGTTTGACTGCAGACGTTTGATTTGTTATGTTTGCAAATATGAGCATAGTTTAAGGCATTTGATCTCATTGTTATCTTGCAGAAGTGGTTGAGATACTGAAGCGATCTGATTTGTGCTTTTAGAATCCAGTTTGTTCTCTGTTTGCAGAAATCACAGGCTGGAAGCAGCATATGCTTCGTGACTCTCATTTCCAGCCAGTCTGCGAGCTTTGGCAGAAATCGAAGTGTTGACTCTTACACGTATCAATTAATGAATATTTCAAAGCAGAGTGCTAACATTAGGCTGTCATTTTCTCTGGTCCTCTTGAGGATGGGTTTGGATGGTGATTAAAGCGTTGATTAGAAGCGTTCGTCTCTCAGCATCAGTAGTGAACGGGTGAACAGGGTCTCAGAGGTGCGCGGTGAGAAGTGAATCTGGCGAACGCAGCTGCTGCCTCATTTAGTCGGCCGTGTTAGTTCTCATGACAGCATATCACGCTCTCTTCCACAGCGGCACGCTGCAAATTGAACAGCTCCTATTAGAAGCGTGCAAAACATGTCAGACGTGAAAAATACATTGGAAAGTCTCAATAATAAATCGTCAGACTAGTTTTCAGAGCAGTATTTGTTAAGCTGATGTTTACAGAGTAGTTTACAGAGTACTACATTAGTGATATGTTTGAGGATTTTCTGTTTCTGATAATATAATATAATGTAATGTAATGTAATAATTTGGCCTGTCATAAATTAGGCAAATCATAAAATCTGTGCTGCAATTTGTCATACAAATAATTAGCGATTAATAATTTCATTCTGTTTTGTTCATGTCACATACAGTACATTCTAAGCCTAATACATACGTTTTTACTTATATATAATAATTATTATTATTTCATATAATATAATAATAAAAATTATAATAAAAGGCCCAAGTGATTTACTTTAGTCCTGTGAAAATTAATATTTATATAAATAATATAATATAATATAATGCAGTCTGATTAAACCCACAAGTTTTGTTTGAAGAAAGACCTTTGACTTCCTTTGTGTACTTTAGGAAAAAAAAAATTAAGTTCTATGACAAAATGTAATTGAAATTTCATGATTAATTGTCCTACAAATAATTAGCAATTAATGATTTAATCCTGTTTTGTTCTTGTCATTCTTGTCTGTACAGTCTAAGCCTAATAGCCTAATTGTATATATAATAAAATAGGCCCAATATAATATAATATAATATAATATAATGCAGTCTGATTAAACCCACAAATTTTGTTGGAAGGAAGACCTTTGACTGTCTTTGTGTATTTTACAACAATGATTTTTTAATATTCTTTGACAAACTGTGATTGAAATTGAAACTGCACAGTTATTGTGGTTGTCTCAAATAATTGCCACGATCATCTGATTAATTAAAAAGAGTGACAGAAATATAATCGCAGTGTTCACAATGCTGCTTGTTTGAAGTTTCCTCATAAAAACGTTCGCAGACGTCCTGGTGTGGTTTTTTAAAGTGCCCCTATTATGCCATTTCCAGTATTGCCTTTCATGCAGTGTGTAATGTAGCTGTATGTGAATGTAAACGATCTGCAAAGTTGTAAAGCTGAAAGTGCACGATAAACGATAAAATTATCTCCCAAAATAAATAATCGACTCTGAACAGCTGATACGAGTCATTAGTAATTCGAATCCCACTAATACATTTGTATAATGCGCGCCTATGTTCTATGTTGGCCGGCCGCGAACAACTTGATCCCGCAAACACGTCACTCTACTGACGACTGCTTCGCTAATCTCTGTGATTTCAATGCGGGATTCACAAAACGCTTGCTGTTGGAAGATGGATCAGTATCCTGTTTATTTGGACCAACTGCTCCACTGAATCACAACCTGTAAGTATGATAAATAATAGATGTTTATATTTTCTATATAGCGTTCAAAATGCGGAACTCTGGCAATGGGCGCATTGTTTCCGAAATGCGCTGTATACCGTAGACCAATCACAACAGACTGGGCCATCTGACCAATCAGAGCAGAGCAGGCTCACGGAAAGGAGGGTTTTAGAGAGAATGAATCTTTGAACTAGGGATGCACCATCGGTATCGGGCCCGATACTGGTCTCCTGTACTCGTACTCGTACTCGTTAAAATGCCCCGATACCAAACGCCGATACCACACAGCATGTGATAAGCGCCATATTCAAACAAAGAAACACCGACAACAGAACAACAGACAGCAGAAAGGAGTTAAGGACGCCTACTACGAAGTATATGTATGCAATGAATATAATGTTAAACATTCAGTATTAACGCCTGTATAGCTGGTGTGCGCGAGCTGATAAACAAAGCACACTGAGTGGATTGAGCGCGCGGCGGCGCAGATGCGCGAGCTTGTCGAGTGAATATTCCTTTCTCACAGACATCACTGGAAAGTTTGTAGTTCGGTCGGATATGTCAAAAACAAGTAAAACAATGCACAAGTTACTTTACGGTAGGGAGAGAGAGAGAGAGAGAGAGAGAGAGAGAGAGAGAGAGAGCGCGTGCACTTCTGTTGTGTGATCTTCGAAACTCGGTATCGGCAAGTACCAAAAATAAAAGTATCGTATCGGACGAGTACTGGAAAAAGTGGTATCGGTGCATCCCTACTTTGAACTGCTTCGAATGAATCGTTTGAGAATTGCTGGAAAATGAGGGGATATTAAATGCATATTTTGAGAAAGCTAAAGCGTTTTTTGACCTTGCATGCATGTAATCCTATTATAGGAGACTCCCAAAACAATATTAGGAACCATATAAATAGCATAATAGGGGCACTTTAAATAAATGGAAAACACTACTTTATTATTTTAACTTGATTTTACTGCATTTTAGACCTAAAAGCTTCTGCACCTTGTTTGTGATGGAGGAAAGTGCAGGCAGAGGAACACAGCAGGAACTGACTGAACTGGAAAACTAGAGAGATGAGATGAATTGAGTGGAGATCCTTGTTATCTACACACACTTCTGACTAATTTTCATCTTACCTCCATATAATACATACTGATGTAGTATTTAAAAGCACAGCATCGCTGCTCTTCCATAAGCACCACCTGCTGTCAGAGAGTGAACTTGCGTTCTCATTCATCCATCTGCTGTTTTTGTTTCATGCAGTTACATTTTATGTAGCGTAATTTCACAAAGCTAAGGTTAGATCATTCCGCCTTTGCTTTAAATTAAATGTAATTTACATAAAAAAAGGCTCATACTGTATGTAGCATCTTTGTTTGGATCGTGATTAAAGTGCAGTGGCTCTGCAACCGTTTCATGCATTGTGATTCATCTAAAGGCACAGTCATGGAGAGAATGTGATAAACCGTGAAACTGGCAGAATATATAAAAAAAAAAGTGATAAAGATTTTTGTTCCATCCGCCCAGCACTAAGCAGCATAATATGTGACAGAAAGTGAGCGGACCTTGATGGGGCGGAAATGAAAAGCCATCGCAAAGTGTCACTTTTAAAGGAATTATCCCTGATCTTAGATGAGTTTAATGGTGTCTTAACTGTCATGAAACTGTCATCATGATTTAATGTAGAACAGCTATTTTTACCACTGAATGTTTAAGGGTATAAAAGAGTCTGTGGCACCTTTGAGATTCACTGCCATTCAAACGTTTAGGGTCAGTACCTTTGATTTTTACTAAAGAAATTAATACTTTTATTCAGCAAGGATG